AATCTAGATGTATTAAATACATAATGATCATCTGTGTATTCAGAGTGAAAATGATCTTCTTAAAAATGTAATACAAAGCTAATCTGTTATATAAATAGCGCAAAATAAAGATCTAAGCTAAAAGAGATCTAAAGGAAGATAACCCAATCAAAATTATTACACTATATATAAAAAATTAAAGAAAGATTTATTATTATTAAAAATTATATTATATATTATTTATAATTTTTCTAATTAATAATTAATAAAATTAAATTTTCTATTAAATTCAAGAATTTTTATTTAATTTATTAATTATAATTAATGAAAATTTAAGTAGTTTTTGTATAATTATTAAAATTAATATAATAAAAATTATTTTATTTATAAAATATAATAAAATACAAATTATTTTTTAAATTAAAATTTTTAATTTATTAATAAATATTTCTATTTTAATTTAAAAAGCTATAATTCTCTATTTTCATATTTTTTTAAGTTAATAGTTCTATTTTATATAATAATTTGAACTTCTTGTCTTGTTAAAATAAAGTATTATAGTTTAATTTGTTTATTTAAGTTAATATAAAAAATGATTAATAAATTAAAAATTTTAAAAATTAAAAAATTTCTGTTTTTAATCTAAAAATTTATTATTTTTAATAACTAATAAGTTCTTTGATATGATTTATTTTTACATTAATATTAATTAAAGAAATTATATGGGATTTAGATAAAGTAATACCTAATCCAAGTTGAATTATTTGAAACTCAATAAAAATCTGCACAGAACTATATTATTAAAATTATTGCAATTTGTACAAATTGATTGGAAAATAAAGATCAGAATCTTTACAAAACATTGCAATTAGATATTTATTATATCAAAATCTCTTAATATGGTAAAGTTTATATTCAGAGATTTTCACTATATTGAAGAATTTTAATAGTTTTACATAATAATAATTTAATTATTAAATATCATATGTAAACATAGAAAAAAGTTATCACCAAAGTATAGGTTTATAATCTGTTTTTTGAACTTGTAGCTAATATGAGCAACCACTTTTGCAACTTCAGTTCTTCCAACAAAATTTTGATAGAATATTTCCTTTTTGAGAAAACACAACTTAACAGGTTCATTACATCAATTAACTTTATATATGTATGTGAGGACAAAGACACGTATAAGATAAGAGTTGGTGTTGCTGAGAAACACATTAAAACATTATGTTTATCATGTGTTATTTGGGTTTACCTCGACACCCATCTTCCGAAAATCCAATATCGTGACAATCCATCTTCCCGATAATCCAGCATCCCGACAATCCATCTTCCCGATAGCCTAACATCCCGACATACCCAACTTCTCGCCAAACACAATTTCCAGACATCTTGTAAAACGCCGATCGTTATGAAAATATCCACCATAAACCCAGAAAGTGGACTAGTTTTATTGGGAAGTTAGGTTGTCGGAATGTCAAATTTTGGAAAGTTGGATTGTCTCGAGGGGTTGAATTGTCGGGAGGTTGAGGTTGGGTGGCACCCCGTATTTATTTAATATATATCTGTTTATCGTCACTACGAGATTTGAAATGTGATGGTTGTTGGAATGTCGAATCGGATCAATGTAGGACGAATAAGTAAGATTCAGAGATTTTAGTGTCATTGCTTTGGTTATGAGAATAAAAGAATTCCTATTTAGCCACGTGCAAATCTAATAAACTTTTAGAATCACTCGTATATCAAATATAATCTAAATTCACGGTATAAAAAAAGCGAATATTAAAGTTTCATTGTGTATTTTTCCTGTTATTCTCCTTCTTATGTAATAAATTAGTCTAACCAGTCTTAAAAGCAAAAAAAGCAAATCCGAAGCTAAACAAACGAGCAGCTCTTTTAAAAGGGAAATAACATCACTCTATAAATCTCCAATTGGTATGGCTCGAGTTAAATTAAAAGTTAAATTAAAGTAAAATAAATAGCATCGACTCTATCGAATATCATATATTAAACATAGGTTTTGTCATATATGTTTGAAGTAAGAAATAGAAAAACATCTTTCCTTTTTATTCTCTTTCTTTCACTCAAAACGCGTTTTGATTTACGCGCATGTCGATGCTACCTTTTTTTGACGATCATTTCATCATTATTCGCATTTTCGTTCCCTTTTTAAATATAGTACCTTTTTTGATCCTTTTTATTAGTATTAGCATACATTCTATCGCTTTCGCATTTCATTTGGTGTATACGCGCGTGATCTCATAATATTATTTTAATGATTTTCACTTTATTATCTAGCAAATGGGCATTATAATTGAAACATTTCACGGTATATAAGAACTTTTAAATAGATGACATTTGACAAAGTCAATCGAGAATTCGGAAAAGTTGTACTTTTTAATCTACATTTATTTACCTTTTAACAGGCAAAGTTCCAAATACAAAAGCTGCTGCTATTATTTTCGGTGAGTTCAAAATCAGGGGGATTAAATAGACACCCGATCATTTATAACGAGAATACACGTATTTTATCTAGAGGCTTGCCGTCGAGGAATTCTCGATAGAACAAATCGTCGTCTCTTGGATGAAGAAAGAAGAGCTTTGAAAGGTGGCGAAGTGTAAGTCTAGCTTACGCAATTGATTGGCTTTATCAGGGGAATTCATGTAATTCGATTTCATCGATTAGTTTTGTTTTTGCCGAGAAATCTTCAGGTATCAAACGTTGGACAGATGGGAAGTATGTATTCGATATTTTTTCTACATCATGTATACAATAAACTTAAACTATCTTTGTTTAATCTAGATATTGGTCTCCAAGTCGAGTAATCGGCGAGTTTTTGGTCTATTTTGAACTTGACACTCGAATGCACAACATTAAGCGCGAACAAGACATTAATCCGAGTTTACGATCAAGGATCGAACGCGAAGGATTAAAGGTCCAGGTCGGGAATAAAGGAACCTTTATTTATCGAAAGAATGGACTCATCAAGAAAACTGTCTCGATGAATGATGAGAATGATATTGAACATATGATCATTTATGAATATCCACCATTGGATAATTGCACTGGTAAAAATTTGTTGATTTTATTGATTTAAAAATATGTATGTTATTTATTTTTGATCCTATTGTTATAGATGAGGAACGAGAAAAGCTTTACCCACCTCAAGCGTACATCGAATTGGCCGATATTGAACCAAGCGAAGAAATTCTCAAGAGATTTCAGAAACCAAATCATTCCAGCGATAGAGAGAGAAGATTAGTCGAAGGTCATGGCTCCGATGATAATGAGAATGAGAATGGTAGTGGCTCATCTGAAAACGATAAATTTAATGACAGTCAAAAGTGTCAGCCATGGCCGAATGTAATAAAATCTGAAAATGAGGGCGATCATAATAAAGAATCGAGTTGGAATGAATCTCGGGAGTCTTCAAAAGTATTGGCTTTTTCATCATATTCGCCTATTAATTATAGCACGTCAGGTATCGCTCCAAATTCACCTTATCCACATTCTCCATATCATTGTTCTTCTATTCATCAACACGCATACGGGGACAGTCAAATGCACTTCCATAATAATTTATCAAACAAATCGCCATCGCTACACGTCATTAATCCTATATTTTTGAGTCGTTCTGAAAAAACTCCCACGACCAACAATACTGTCGCTAGCAACAAATTTGGTGAGCATATACCTCGAGATCACAGAAATTCATTGCCCGCTATTTCTGGTCGTCATCATCATCACCTTTTTCATTATAACCTAAATCCAATTACGAACACAGCAAATTTTCATCAAATGGAAAATGCGCCAATTGAGCCATCTTTATCATACCCGCGATATACAAATGATGATGTCAGAGATGATTTAAGATCGATGTCACCTATTGCAAGCAGCGATCTTTTTTCAAATTCATCGTTAAGAAACTGGCCAACGACGGATAATTCTGGTTCACGGGATTTTTCTCAAAATAATCATAATAGCGCTGATAATGAGATAGAAAATGGAAATGATGTTGCAGGTGGTGGGTTTATTGATCCAAAGTGTCTTGGGAAATTTTGATTTTTAACGATTAGCTAGAACTTTGTAATTGGATTTTAATAGAGGTAGAAACAGAATGGTATAAAGTTATCATCTGTATTCGCGCCTGGAAAATCTTGTTTTTGGTGCAGTATTAACAATAAAAAATGAATTCTATTTTATATTTTAATAAAACAAAAATCGATATTTGTTTTATTGTGCTTTATAATGAATGTGACTAGAGAAGATTTGCTAGTTCTTGAAAAAAGCGTGATTATAGAGATGACTATGGGAGTTTGACTGGGTAGAATTCTCGAAATGAAAGAACAATGTTAATTTTAATCATATACATTCTTTATAACTATGTCTATAGATTTAAAAAACTGTATTTCAGGTCGTGCTTTCAATGTGAAAATTGCTCGAGAAAATTTTATATAATATAGAAAATCTAATGACCTGTATCGGTATATAAGAATAAAAAAAAAACTGATTTTATATATACAACTACACGGTGAAACTTCAAACTCGTTATACAATTATACTTGATAAAAGTTCTCTACAAAACCAAACTTATCATCTAAGATGCATATATTTTGCCAGAAAGATCTATGTGCTTTGTACAGTTATTTTTGTTCAAAAGTATGCAAGTACTTTTTGCAATTACAGTTAATAAAGAAGCAAAGACTGTTCGAAAAATTTAACCAGAGTTTTCATTCTTCTCAAAAATCTTCAAATTGCTCTAATGTGCATTGTTCTACCTTAAAAAAATTAAACCAAAATCATTACCAAAATACAACTAAAAAAAAAAGGGAAGTTCATAATAAAAACTCACCCCTCCAATAATATGTGAATTCGTTACAGGGATTTCCGATTCTTCGCCAATAAAAACAAAGTGACAAAATTTATGAAAGTAAAGAGCTTGAAGACGAATGAGGGACCAATATAAATAGTGTGCCTCATTGCCATCCTTTATTAAAGTTTGTACGAATAAAAAATCAGCCAATGTTTAAATTTGAAAAAATATAATGAATTAATTCTTACTGTGAAAATTTCTTCGTGTTTGAGCATTTCAATTTTTCCATCGCTTAACTTTAAGTCAATCATGTTTTTATTAAATCTAAATCTGGATGAATAATAATTAATAAAAAAGAAAATTAAAAAAATAATTGTTTTTCTAGTTGCAATAAAACCATACTTCCTGCTACTTGATTCTAAAGGTACTGAGTTGAGGATTTTTGCGGTTTTAGGATGCAAAACCAATTTCCACGTTGAAGTTCCATTTAATTTTTCTTTTTGCTAAAGTCATCAAAAGTTATTAAAAACGTTATTAGTATTCTAATCAAAACTTTTTTAAAAAAGAACTTGCCTTATCCAAAACTTTAAGGATCCTATCAACTAGGTTCTCATTAGACTTGATAACTAAACTCGTAAAAATCACATAGCCTCCTATAAAATATAATGTTTTTAAGATAATTCATCATTGTTTTTCGAAAAATAAATCCATTACCTGCGACTAATATTGGTTTCAAATTTACAGAGATTGAAAGATGCGGAATATATCCAAATATACGAAATTCACATCTTTTTTTCAATTTTGAGAGATTCGGAATTAAACAAAGTTGATTGATTATGTCAAATTGTACCTAATCAAAGTTTCAAACGTTACTATAAATAATTTCTTAGAATAGAACAAAATTTAAAACACTTACAAACACAATTTTGATATTTTCATCCTCAAAATCTGGCGCATAAACGGCATCATAAAACCTAAGCGCGTCAATCAAATCTGTAACTTCGGCAGCCCCCTTAACACCGAATACAGCAAATTTGGGATACGCCTTGCAAATTTCTGGCAAAAGGCCTTGCCATTTATTGGCAACTATGGCGACTTGAGCATAATATGAATCCACATTTAAGGATTGATGAAAGCTCAAGTTACCCATGTTTGGATTATTCGTTGGTTTAGGAATCGATATTGTGAAAGGAATCAAAAGTGACATTGCATTCGGTGGTCTTTTAGGTAAACCAAAAATTTTGTATTCATTATCGATGTTTGGGAAGACGAAGAAGCATAATGACTCGTCTTCACTCAAATAAATTATACCGATCTAAAAATATAATTGAAATATACATTACATTAAATTAGTTCCAAGGAAATAGAAGAATTTTATTACCTTTTTTGTTAGCTTATAATTATTGAATGCCTTCCAAACTTCAGTAAAATGCTCGTTTTGTGTAGCTGGTTGCATCACAAAAATTGAAAGCGGATTCATTTTCTCCATCAATTTCATAGCATAGAAGAACGAGAGTAAATTATCCAAAATTAATTCATTTCTCGGCATTGATTCTCTATCAATATATGAAAGAAATAAAAAAAATAAACTATAAAAGATTGTTTGAAATTTTATTATTTTTACTTACTTCAAAATTGACGGATCTGGGCAATGACCTCTTAACGGTCTAATAACTATTTGTTTTTGGATTGGTTCGTCATTTTGCAAAATTAACAAACCTTTCCATTCTAAAAGAATTTTGGATGATTCTGTTTTTAATTCTTGTTTGATATATGAGATTTCTTCGGAACCTTTTAAAATTGATTTTGGAGTAGTGATCGAATTTTGAGCTTGTTCAAGTTCCTCAGGAATTTCCATTCCGAATATCCAAGGTGGTGGCGATTGTCGCTCAACTTGTCCCGAAAATCTAACGCCTTTTTTCACTTTTCTACAATGTGCTTGTTCATTGTTCTTATTTTCTGTCATTGAATTTTCTCCAATTTTTCGTTGAGGACTGTTTCTATTTCTCATTTAAATATTCTAAAATTAAAATATAAGAGTAAAAATGTTCGAATATAAAAGATCACTTACGATAGAATATTTATCTGAATTGATTCTTCGACCTCTTTATTTGTTTCTAAAACTATTGGGTATTCAGAGAATTGCTTTTGCTTCCCTTTAGTTTTATCTCCTAAACTAACATTTTTATGCATAGGCTGCGTTATTTGCAAAGATTCAGAAGGAATAATATTTTTGTTAGATTTTGAAATACATTCTCTTTGCCATTGAGGAGGTATTTGCGGTGTTGGTAAGGTCGATGTTGACGGATGTGTAAGATTAATGTTTGCAGCTGATGAAGTGGGTGAAGGTATTGTCAAATTCTTTTTTTTGTAATTTTCCAAAAGTTTTTCTCCATTATGAACATGTTTAAACGGGAGCCACATTGATTCGATGCCTGAATTTATAAAATTATTTGCAAACTTTCATGTTTAAAATAAATTAGAACTCATTAGTGCTTTATGAGAGACTATACCTTTAAAATTAGCTAACACATCCCAATTTCCTTCTTCGTTTTTCACGACATCGACGATTTCTCGAACAAAGTATTTTGGTTGCATAATATTACTGTTGCCTCCTTCTGGCTGAAATTGATTGTCGGAGGTAGCGAATTCATGGACTGGAAAAGCAGAAGGAACATTTCTTCCAAGCATGTGTTTTCGTCTAATTCCAATATTACGATATATTATGTTGAATAAGTTCGTTATGTATTATCGATTTGTACATACGCTTTACGTGAAGAGCCTCGAGAAAATCTTGGGGTTGATCTGTTGTTATGCGACATTGTTTGGAAAATGTGAATTCCTCAATTTTTCTTTACAGTATTTATATTTTTAATGATGACGTGTTATTACATGTACATGTACATGGAAGATCTAATTCATATTACTGATACATGTAAAAGTCAAACCACCCAATCATTTATCTTATCCAGAAGATCTTTGACCAATAGATAAATAACACTGATCCCAAATCAAACACGATAAAATTATAAGAGAATGCTCCCGGTGAGGTTCGAACTCACGACCTTCAGATTATGAGACTGACGCGCTGCCGACTGCGCTACGGAAGCAATGCATTTGATGTAACATATTCTTTGTCTTTATCTTTATCATTATTGACTGAACGTTCGATTATCCACCACCCAATGCATGAGAAACTTCTATTAATTATTTCTTATTATTATTTTATTGAGCTATTTTATTGCAGACAATAAGCGTTGTAAACTTGTAAATTTACAAATTTTGATGCCATTTACGTATTTGTTAATTAAAAAATTTTGAATTTTTCTCGATCTTACGATCCTAAGGAAGTGACACAATTCTCAATAACGATAACGATCAGAAATATTTCTATCATGTCTAGATTTTCATTGCGTTTTTCATTTATATTTCGTTCTTTTCTCATCCAAAAGTTCTTGCCTATATACAAAGTTACCATTTACGAAGTGGACATTAGCTACATTAGCTTTGTTATATTAATAAAAACTATGCCACCGAAAAGAGTATTTTCAACGTTAACTACCAGAAAAGTAATAAATAAAAAGGTTAAACGTAGCAGTAATACTATCGAAGAAAGTCGAGATGCAAATAGTGCGTCTTCAATTGTTTCACCTTCTCCATCAACAGCCACCAACACAACTTCTCAAAAAGAAAAAGTCTCTTTTATAGGAAATTGTGTTATGTGGTTCAGAACAGACTTACGACTAAAAGACAACCGAGCACTATCTCTAGCCTCAAAACATGCAATAATGCATAACAAAAACTTATTCGCGCTCTTTATTATATCGCCACAAGAATGGCAAACGCATGATGTGGCATCGATACGCGTTGATTTTTGGTTACGTAATTTATCGAGTTTGCAGAAGCAGCTTGAGAAATTGAATATTCCATTGATTGTGCGAACAGTTGGCTTACGAAAGAATGTACCTTCAGCGGTTATTGAGTCTTGTAAGGCGGTTAACGCTAGTCATCTTTTTGTTAATATAGAATATGAGGTATTTAAAAGAAATTTACGATGTGTTGTATTTCTTTGTGAAACTTTATAATCTATAATAGTTTGTTTTATAGGTCAATGAGTCTAGACGCGATAAAAAAGTCTGCTCTCTCGCTGAGCATAATGATATTGTTGTTTCATTAGAGCATGATCAATGCGTTATTCCTCCTGGATTATTATTGACCAAGGTATAATATGATATGTTTCTTTAAGGATGCATTAAATTATATTCATAAAGTGATATTCTATTTAGCAACAAAAACCATATACAGTGTATACGCCATTCAAGAAATTATGGTTAACTATCGTAGGAAGCGAGCCAAATTACCTAGAATTATCTCCGGAGCCTGCACCAAATAACGAATCAATACGCGAACAACACGCATCAGAGTTCAATACAGAAATACCAGAATTCGTAGAAGGCTTTCAATTATCATCAGCCCAATCCAATAGGGCTTCTATTGAATTTCCGGCAGGCGAAGATGTTGCTCATGAACGTCTACAAGCATTCATTTCGGAACGAATAACTAATTACAAAGAAGCACGAAACATTCCCAGCGTAATTGGCACCTCTTCTTTATCTGCGTATTTTGCTGCGGGTGTCTTATCTGCAAGACAATGCGTAGTTGCCGCTCGTGCCGTTAATAAGAATAAACTCCAAGATGGAAATATTGGCATAGCAACATGGGTTGAAGAAATCGTATGGCGTGATTTCTATCGTCATGTTCTTGTTGCTTTTCCGCATATTTGTATGAACCGTCCTTTTAAATTGGAAATGGAAAGCATTGAGTGGAATAATGATCCAGAGAGGCTACGTAGATGGTGTGAAGGTAAAACAGGGTATCCTATTGTCGATGCAGGTTGTTAATTTTTATAAGATAATTGAATTTCAATCTCGTCAGAATTCTTATTGTTTATTGTTGATAAAGGTATGCGTCAACTCAATGAAACAGGTTGGATGCATAATCGTGTGCGTATGATTACTGCCATGTTCTTGACAAAAGGTAATTGCTTTTTTACCATGAAAGTAGAAAAAGGGCAATTAATAAATTATAACCTTCTAATAATTGGATTTTAGTTCCAGCCATTACTAATTGATTTTTTAAAAAATTATATCTTTTACTGGCCCCTCATTAACTAACTAAATTGATAATAGATTTATTGATAAATTGGCAATATGGTGAACGATACTTCATGCAACATCTAATTGACGGAGATTTCGCAAGCAATAATGGTGGTTGGCAATGGGTAAATAAAAATAAAATTATCATATTGTTTGTTGGAAAATATGTACACGATCCTCTTCTGATTTATTTTGAATAGTGTGCCTCTACAGGAACGGATGCACAGGTACTATTTGTCTGAATCTTTTGATTATATTTTGTGCACGTACTCTGATTTAATGATAAATATACGTTCTTATTTTAAAATAGCCATGGTTTAGGATCTTCAATCCAACACTTCAATCACAAAAGGTGTACTTTGAGCTTAGGCGTATCTGTACCTTATAAATTCTTATTGATCGAAACTCTTTTATCTATAGTTTGACCCGAACGGCGACTACGTAAGAAAATGGGTCCCGGAATTAAGTTCATTGGGTCCCAACGAAATTCATGATCCTTCTAAATCACTTTCTCTTATGCGGTTTGCCAAGTTGAAGTATGATCTTTTATGATTGAATGATTTAACTAATTTACTCAACTGCTTGTTCACTAGTTTATCTCTCATTTTATAATTATAGTTATCCCTCTCCCATAGTGGACCACAAAACAGCGCGCAAAAAAGCACTGGAAACTTATAAAGCTGGGAATGTTTCGTGCTTCTTTGTAATTAGTTATTCGTTCCGAAATG